TTCAGGAAAAAAAGGAACAGTTTATCAGCATATCTCCTCACTATTGTCTATGATACCATCGTTCATGTCCTCGTAAAGGCATGAGGAAAGAAAAAAAACTAGCATTCGTAATGGAAAGTCATGCCGGCTACACCGACTGTTGCTTTTCTGACTTCTCCCTCTTTTTTATCGTAAAAGGTGGATAAAAAAAGAACATCGAGGGCATCGGCCAATCACATTTCAAGTATTTACTAGTTTAAATACAAAAAGGTGAAAAAATGAGAGCCTCTAGTGGGTGTGCATATTTTGATAGAAAAGCCTACCCCTCTGTGATTGCAAAGAGAACGGCAAAGCTTCGCATCTTTAGGGAAACAAAAAGGGTGACAAAGTTTACCCTCCACTACCACCAACCAATCACCGCTTTTGTTGACAAATTTTATATCACTTACAGTTCTACGAAGGTGTGTAAAGCCAAATTCAACCGAATAGTAATTTAATATAGACGCTAAAAGGGACAAAGTGGTAGTGGGCAATGCAGGGGCAGGCAGACAAACAGACATGAGGTGCACGCACACACACACACACAGAGGCGACTGACAACACAACTGTTGCGGCCTTGACGCCATTATAATTTATTCAGCCAAAAAGCAGGCCCTGTTTATGATACTACTGTCAGATTTTACTTCTCTACTCTTGTCTCGCCCCCCCTCCTTGGAGGATGGTTCTCCTTTATTGGGGCAAAACAATTGGTGAGGCAATTAATGCCCTGGAAGACGTGAGGCAATTGTATAGTGGACGCCTTCATTTGCATGATAATTCACATTGCCTTTGCATTTTGTGTGTTTAGTCCCCACACAGAGTCAGAGTTACACATGTAATGACGATAAAATCACAAGAGAAAAGCAAACATCTCCCACCGCCACCACCACCTCCCACAGTGTGACTTGCTGGCAAAGCGGAGTAATAAACGCCTCTCCAGTTAAATAAATACTTTGTGAATAAGGCGGGGGAGATGAGGCACATAAATCATTGCCTTTTTCAAAGCGTGTAGTTTTTTTTCTCTCACTCTCTGCCAAATAAATGAAACTTCAAAGATCATAAGTCGGCAGGACAGGCGAGAGAGGGAGAGAGAGCAGGGTATAGTGAGTGTGAGAGAGAGGGAGCGAGAGGATCGAAAGGGAGAGTGAGAGGAAGGGAAAGTAGAGTCAAAGGCTATTTTATCACCCGTACTGGACCGGCTAGGTGGAGAGAGTGGGGTTTTGCAAACAGTCCCCTTCATTTTACGGCTCTCATACCATTGGTTAGTGAGTCCACCACCTGTAAAACAAATTACCTCCCCTCCATTCCCACCCCTCCCTCCCTCCCTCCCTTCCTTCTCTCAAACAATTAAAATTTCATTATGCGAAACTCTCGCCACAATGCTCCAAACACATTGTGACTGGGGTATTGTCCACTTTGGTCAATGCAAAAGTGGACAAAAATAGCGACAGCAATGTCGGCAAATTGGAGGTGGAATGATTAATTTGAAAGTGGACGAGTTAAGAGTCCTCTACATCTCTCTCTCTCTCTCTCCCTCCCTACCTCACCTAGGAAACAATTAAAGAGTAAGCAATTTTATAAAATTAAAACGTTGATACAAAATCACTCTTCCATCCGACCTTTCACTTAGCTTGTCAAGTTATTATAGTGCCTTCAACTCCACACACACACATGCGTTTAGGGTTCCTTGAAAATCCGAAAAACGAAGTTTACTCAACCCGTGAATGTTTAAACAAAAATAAACGTTTTTTGATCAAATCGGTTGCAAAGTCCTCCTCTCTCTCAGCGTGCATTTTATGTGTGTTTTTGTGAGACGCATGGAGAGACAAATCATTCAAATCCACGGAGTGTGTTGAGGAGCTATTGATGCAAAAGTGCCTCACAACTGTTTAAACATACTGTGCGTCGTCTTGACCTCCTCGTCCTTAAACTTAGTCCTCTTAAGAGAAATGAATTATTTTACAAATATTTAGTTATTCTTTCGGTAAGAGGAGAGATGCGATGAGGCTATCAGCACTAGGCGCTGAGACGAGTTCTCGCACACCGCTTTGCATGGCGCTCGGATTGAATTCGCGCCTCTCCCCCACCACGAACAATTTAAACAACCGATTCGCATTGTCTATACATTTGTTCGACCATTTCAATACCAGCGACTTTTTCAAGTTGAATGAATGTGATTTTTGTTCACACCGCCCACAACAATGTACACCCCGAGATGTCTGGAGGCAAAATTGTGCCTGTTAGTTGTTCCCGCCTACGAGGGTGTGCGTTATCCATACCCACACGCAACACAGCACAAATCCACAAACAAATTTGGAATGTTAATTTTAACCAGGAAGTGTGGAGTGTGTGGCAAAAAACGAGGCGCCTCTGCACCGTGAAAGTAGCTGTGCGCCACTTTTTTTTACTCCCTCTTCATTAGCATAAAAAGTCGTTATTTTACGCCTCATCGCAAAACGATGGCCAACGACTGTCACTGTGACTGTTCCCATTCTCCACTAAATGCAACACCATACACCACGAGTGGAAGACGGGCTGGATTTGGGCAATTGTAAAGCACTCTTAGTGGAGTAATGAAGCAGACCTTCTGACATCAGACCACAGACTGGGTGGTGCCACCTCGGAGGAGGGAACAGAGTGAGATTGCCTAGTGCAAGGACACTCGAATAAACTCCACATATCCTAGATGTCTCAGTCAGGCAATCATGCAAGCATTCCAGTTGCAATGCCAACGTCCACAACAGTGCCAATGAATACGTGACAGAGCCTTCAAAGTGGATGACAAAAAATAGGATGTAGAAGGACTTAAAGGTTGACTTTTAAACAAGGACATTGACGACATTCCTTCCCAACCTGCTGGAGGAGTTCTGCAATTACTGCTGCCACAGCTTGTCAATGGGTTCTTTTTTTTTTTGGCTTCTTTACTTCTAAAGAAGGTAATTGGTATGCCTCAACTTGACATCCACGACACACACACACACACACACTGACCAGATTGCAAACACCGCGATTCCTTAGTGCATAAATAATTAAATAGTGAAGTTAAATTACGCACGTCTGTATCTACCTTTGCCTCTACCGCCCCCTTTGGGGTGTCTGAGAGGGATTTTTCCGTTCCCTCATATTGGATAAGTGGTTATGGTGGTGGTGTCAAAATGCAGCGCTTAAGACACAAGGAGTTCGTCCTGCAATTTGACGTGACGAATTTTCTTCATACACACAAATTGGATCCTTTTAGTACGAATTTCTAATAAGGATAGTTAAGGTGTTGCCAGAAGACACCATCAAATGTACAAAATCTGCAATTTGAAGTATTCCCCGGTGTCTCGGTTCGCTCAACTTGACAAAGGGCTTTTTTTGAAACGTGGCATTCCGTTTCGAAAGTGCTCTTGCCCCGAACCAGTATGTTAGAAGCGTCAAAAGGAATTTATGGAAGGGAAGGGAAGGGAAGAAGAAGAAGGGGGGAGGAGGTGGAAGAGGAGGGAATTAAATGACAGGCCGCCATTCATTTTCCCTCCTCCCCCTTAGGCTCCAATCCCGCCCCCCTTGAACCCACCTCAGTTGCAGTCATTGTTGGGGATTTTTGTGGTAGTCGGTGCGAGACGGAGATGAATGGAGGACAAATGTAATAGCTGCGTTAGTTTTTGATGTTTCGGTGAAACATCAAACGCCCGCAAATACATTCCCTCGCTATGCCCATCTCTCGCTCTCCCTCTCTCTCTCTCTCTCTCTCTCCCTGTTTCAACACAACACTAGTTCGTATGCGCGTGAGTGCGAGAGTATGGGAATATAAATTTAAGATGTTATCATAATCACAGAGTGGAGGAGTGCTAGGTCGTCAGAATAGCTTTGCTATGCACACAAAAAGGCGGGAGTTGAGTACGACAACATTTGGTTTTGAGGTCAGATTGCAGACTTAACCAATCAGAAGAAGAGAGGCTTCGCTCCTCTGTTTTTTAGTTGCACAGACTGTGGCCTTGAAGACGCAAGTGAAGCAACGAACTACCTTCGAAACACAATGACTGCAACCTGCTGCATCTTTACACCCCGAGAAGGGAAAAGTGTCACAACTTCTAGGGATGTGGGTTAGAAACACCTGATTGCCATGGGATGTGGAGTTGAGAGAAGTTAAACCAACCATTAATAGTCATTCACATCGCCGTAGTGACCCAACAAAAGCAGCAATGTGAAATATCTACTTCCAATGAGAGGTGAGTTGAGGGAGAGAAGAAGATGTCTGACTAAAGTGGTGTGTTTATGCGGGCATCTCTGGTGTTGCCACGCTGACCTTTTAACAAGTGGACAAATTGAAGCAAGGACCTCACATCCTAGGGCTGACATTTACACGATGTCCAACTTCCTTCATTGGGTTGAATTAAGCCTTAACGGGGAATGTAAAAAGGTAGGACACACATGCACACACATTCATTCATTCCTTTCTCCGTTTGCCCAGGCCCGGAACTCTCTTTTGGGACGAGCCAAGGAAGCTCATAAGGCAAAGCCTAACACTCTTTCAACAGATGACTCACGTCTAACCATTTAACCATTGGGAAAGGAAAATTCCTTCTAGAGTGACTCTAAAAATCCCAAGTAGTTACTCATTAAGTTGCTCATCCTTGAGACTACGTCCAATGCAGAAAGATGGCTATAAGACTCTCCTTTTTTAGCGTCCTGTGAACTCAAAGCACTCCATTTCCCTTCCGACTAGTTGCCATAGCAATTAACAGTGTCTTCAGCAGATAGACAGAACAAAAAACAACATAAAAAGAAGAAACTTTGAGTAGCACCTTTAGCGACGTCTTTTTTAGCATAAGAGGAAACCTACGTAGATGGTGTGTGTGATCCGCGTGTGTGATGGCTGTAGACTGACTCACACTCACACCCTCTCCACCTACCGTTTAGGATCATAGCAACAATAAAAGGTGACAGTATTTACAGATCATTAGCCTACATACGGAAGTCAACTCTCATCAAACATCAAACTATTTACGGAATGGCGGTGCGCACCGACGCTGCATTTGTGTATTTGTCAAGTAGAAGTAAACACGACTGATTATAAGCCAATCGATTTCCGGTGGCTGTACGTTGACAGTGACAGGTAAAAGGAGTGGACCATGGAAAGGTGATCGGTGTATTATAAGGCAGAGAGCGGAAAATGGGGCGCTCAGTTGGCGCCTCGCATGAAGACAAAGGCGGATGGAGGGTATGACTAAGCCTGTTTCAATCTCCATGCCCTTCACACACACACACACACACACACACTCATTCGTCGGGTTTGGAAGGAGTGAGAGCGGAAGGAGGAGGGGTGCAATACGACTAGGCTTCCGACGCCCTGGCAAGTCATTGTTTCACCAGACATGAGTAATCCTGACAAACACACACACACACATCCGCACATGCAAACATGTGCAAAAGTTCCAAGGTGGCGAAAAAAAGTAATAATAAAAAAAGAAGAATGTGGAATAAAAAGGGAGGTATGTGCAATGCCACTTGACAAGGCTTCATTACTAGGGCTCACCTGCGTCAATAGGATGACACCAAAATTAATAACTCTTCAATCTCTTCTCTCACGCCATTCTCGAGGGTTAAGGGGGAGAGAGAGAGATAGAGAGAGAAAGAGGTCGTCATAACTCCACTCAAAAACAAGACTTAGCTAAGCCTTCGAATCTACCTCATGACACAAAGGATATAAAATAGACTCCGTAGGCAGAGGAAAAGGAATAGCTTTAAGAGAAGTGAGTTAATGTAGTCCGCCCAAATTGAAAATTGTGGAGGTAAAAAAGGAAAATCCAAGAATTGATCAACAGAAATAAAAAGAAAAATAAAGAGGAGAGTAGGATTTGCAGCATGTGTGTTGCTTTCTTACCCACACCCCACCTTCCCGCCCCTCCACCCCCCCCCTTCCTCCAAATTTTGTGCAAAAAACAATGAAAATTTAACCTACCATGTCAAAGTCTTGCGATCCCTCCCACTTTTTCTCCCCACCTCCATTCAAGGTGACATTTATGCCTTAAAAAACCAGAGAGAAAGAGAAGGAGAGAGAGAGAGAGAGGGAGGAAGTATGCGCATTGCTAGGCAAATGGAGTGGTGAGTATGGTGCAGAGGGAACACAAACAACCCCTCGAGAGACTTTCACCACCACTGACACACACACACACAAAGGAAATGCACGCAGAGGCTCAAGATTTACTCGATTATCCCAGTTATTGTTGTTTTTGTTGTCTTGGTGATGTGCACGCCCTAAAAACAAACTACTTGGCTAGAGGAATTGTAAGGGAGCTGTGAAATCGAAAACCCTGCGTTTCGTGAACTCAGTGAGAGGGGTACACAAAATATTTCTTTCTTTTTTTTTTCCTGGTTCTTAGAGGTTGGGTCAAATTACGGACCAGGATTGCGGTAGTCAGCTGCACGCTTAAGGTCTAAAATTGTAT